CCTGATGTTCTACACGTTGTTATTGTGGTGTCCCAAGAGAAATGTGTATACTTAAGAGAAAATGTGTTTAATAAAAGTTAGTTAGCAAGAAAAGATCAACGAGTTCGAATATATCATTGTCGTTCACCGCGTAAACTCACAGCTAAACTCATAGACCGAGTCTATACACCGTGTATCTATACTTTGACAACACACGAAAGCCAACCAACCAAAGCGTCTGATTTTACTGAAAAGTTGTATAAATTAAGAGTAAAATTAGTGAAACTAAATCCTTGTTTATTACTTTTCATACAATATTTAGCAGCTTTTGAAGGAACTAGATGACAAATCTACACGGTAAATTCACGCCAGGAATGCAGAAGTGACTAAAATCGTTCACTCTGATAGTCTTTTTTTTATAATAATAATAACTTTATTTAAGAAATTCATAATAAATCCTATTCACAAATCTGAAAGGATAAAAAGCTATTTACACAAATTTAGAAAAATCTAAGAAAAAAAAAAAACACACACAAGAATGATGAAGAAATGATGAACTATATACAAAGTAAAAAAACTAAATGAAAATAAAAATAAAATATGTAAAAAATCTATTGAATGTCGGCAAGGTTAACATTAATATTAAAATCGAAAAAATTATCTGAAAAAAGGAGTACGAGATCCTCTAATGCAAGTTACAGAAGATTTTAACATTTCAAAGGACAACTTAGCTCTAATGTACGTTATTGTGTCCGAATAACATTGTCCAGATTTATTGGCTAATCTCTCAGCAAGTGCTTTAAGGAAAATTTGGCTTTCCTTTCCCATGCCCTCATTTGTTCCAAATATCAGTGGCGTGAAAGAACCCATTTCTACCTCGAGTACCCTCTGTTGATACTTTCTTTTCTTCTCTTTTTCCTGATCATTGGTTTTCTTCTCGTTGGACTTGGAGTTGACGTGCGACACTCGAACATCAAAAAATGCAGTAACTCCGCGTTGCCAGAAACCACCAGCCTTAATATCAAGGCGAGCATCTTCACTTCTAGTCGTTGTTTTGAGATCAAACTTTTCTCCATTGAGTGGAATCAGGTGAGGCTCGGCTTGGACATTATGACAGACTTTGCTCAGTAGAGTTGTTAACAGGTCACGTGTGTTGTCATGTCTTTGAGCAGTGAAACCCCCCTTCTTGCAGNTTTTGTGAAGGCGACATAAGCACATTGAGGTTGAGTCATTGCAATGCCCGCCAGTGTTTCTAGCTCCGCTTTTCCAGTTGACGACCTTTTCTTCACAAAAAGTATCCTTGTAAGTTGTAGACCCAATCACAGCTCCAAGATTGCCTTCACAAGTAATGTTAACCAAATACCTGCTTAGCTTCATCTGCCAGCGATTCAGACTCAGTGATGAGCCAGCTCTTTGAACCATTGACAATGTAACCATATTTCTTTCCTTCTTGTATAATCACTTTGTACCAATTATTAAGAGATGTAATTGTTCCGGCTCCTGCTGAGTYGTCAGCCAGCCACACTTGTTTAACTGATGGTACTTCGATCCTAAGAGACTCTATGATAATTGATGAGTTCACCGAATACCAGGACATTGCCAACGGGTCACCTTGCGTTGTTCCTTCTTGGGACAAGATTTCTTCTCCTCCACATATGAAAAGCCTCGACGGACTTCTGTATGTATTGATGATATACAGAGATATTTCTTTGAAAATAATGCGAATGTTATGCAAAGCRGTAGATCTATTCATCTGATTGAAAGCGTTGCTTGCATCTATTAGCAAAACTCCATCTGTCTCTTCCTCTTGAAATATGTCGTTCATTGCATGAATAGCCGCTTCAGCTCCCCCTCCAAACCCAGCACAGACCTGAAGTGGGCCTGCTGCTTGTTTTAGCTCTTCTCTGAAAACACTGGATATGGTTTTCCCAATTATTCTTCGCAGCACTTCACCAACTCCAATCGGTCGGACGCCGCGGGGATCTTTGTCTAAAGGTATCAATCTGCACGAGGTGTAGCATTCGAGGAGGGATGRATGATATGATAACTTCAAAAGGTTCCTTGTCATTGACACTATTTCCACTCGCAAACGTTTTCCTTCGGCTTTGAAGTTCTTAGAGCACAAAATTCGCTGGAAGAGCTCTGCATCCATTCCGGAGGGACCGGCGGATCCTCTCGTTTTCATTGTGGCCTTGTATATCATTTGTTCATCGATTAAATCAAAAATGCCAGCCGGAAATATATCCAAAGGACCATACAGTAAGCTTTSTTCTTCTATGCTAGCCGCTTGGGGATGTTTCTCTTTAAGTTCTGCAAGTACAGCCGGAGAAAGATTCAGAACTCCAGAGGACGTTTCCTTGTCAAGAAGCTTTAAGGCCGCAGAGCGATTTCCTTTCATAACCAGCCTGGCAAAAACTCTAGATATATCCTGGCGCGTTGATTTCCCTTTTCTCGAATGATTGAATCTGCTTTGTATGAACTTGATTTCTTTCATTAGAGTCATCAGGTCTCCTTGTCTCCATAATTTCAGCCTTCGTTCAAATGCGGCGCTGTGGTCCTTTGCTTTAGACGTTGAAGAAGGTTTTTGTAGAATAATTGTAGGAAGAACCATGAAAGCTTTCAGAGCAATACCATTCATATCGGTGTTGTTGTTAAAATGCTCGAGCCAAGAATCGAGCTCTTTTACAAAATCTTTTCCTGCTCTACCGGAAGGGACGTTGAAAATGTTCCTTTTAAAATGCACGATTTCATCATAGATGCGATTCACTTCCTGACAAAATTCTTCGGTTGTTGAGTCACCCCAAGATTTTTCCTTTACGGGACGAGATGGCAAAACGTCAAAATTAGGTAGATTTGGTTTTAAATCAGCTGTTCCATTGTGGTCTTCATCCTTGTCGTCCTCTGGGACTTGTGAAGACGAATTATGCAAATTTGTTCTTGGTCTCGGTTGAGCTGTTGCATATTCTGACTCATTTTCGTTCCTTTGAGAAATAAATGAATTATCTTCTCCAAGCACATTTTCTTCATCTCTAAGATCTTTAGATGACTCAATCTTGGAGTTTTTCAAGCCGGGCAGCTTGGTCCCTTAGGTTTTGGGCTTTTATTCCGAGATGCGAATAGCCAAGTTCTTCCCAGAGCTGTTTCATCACCTCAATGTAG